AAAATGTGTCAAATTGTCCCTTAACTTTGCTATATTTTCAACAGAAGTGGCCAAAAAGCTCCGGTGGCGATCTACGACAGGGTTTCAAGACTAGGATAACATCAGATCAAGTCTTTGAAACGCCAAAGTAATGCAAGCAGATATTTCATAACATTTTAATGTCAAATGCATTTATTACTCTTATGCATGCAGGATGACTTAGCGTTAAGATTATGAAATAACCTCGTGACCTTACATGATCCACGTTGATGTGATTTGGCTCATATCAGTCTTAAGCCACAGATGCGCACGCAACGCTATGTGATGAAACCTATTCGTGATATGACTTCCTCGGACGTTATTTGATAATCCGACCATAACATGCGACGGAGGATGATCGAAGCAGAAGTTCCAGATCACGTACGAAGCAGCACAGCGTGTTACAACGCTTCAACACTCTTCATCACATAACATGCGATGAAGAGTTCAAAGCACATTTCATTGCCGCTTGACGCATGCGAAATGGTTATAAAAAATGGATTAACAGCCACCGGCATATCTCAAGTCACGAGGCTTCGCGACGGTTGCAGCTTCCCACGTCTTGCACTTAAGCTGTCGTCCTGATGCCTCGTCCGTGCAGCGTATAAAGATATTTTTCGTTCTCCCGGGATAATTTTTTTTAAAAACTTGCATCAGCGTTCAGCGCGCTGTCAACACCGAAGTTTTAGCTTGTCTCGACGTCTCCACTATCAGAAGACCCCCGGGCAAGCTTTCTCTTTTCTCCATCAGCGATTGTCTTCATTCGCTAGCTCATTCATGCCGTTCTCATATCCGCCCGGCGCCCCAAGGGGCCACGCGTGTCATGCTTGTAGTAGATTGGGAGCTGTGCCGCGGTGTGATGGATAAGGCCGGACAATCGCTGCCGGCACGCGACACGCTCTGTATCTCAGCCAGCGTTTCTTGCTGGACGAGTGTCTGACGATCAGCAGCCGCCAGACCCGCCACGCAGTAACGTGGTGCTTCGCGGATGGTGCTGGTCTGGTTTGGATCTGGGAGTAAGAATGGCAGGCATTTCGTTGCATTTTGTTCTGAGATGATGTGATGCGATTGGTCCGCCAGTGTGTCAGTCCACCGACCTCGCAGCAATGCTTCGTACGATTTACACCCGCTGCAGAATCCCACTCGCCTCGTGGTCAATAGTTCTTGGCTCCAATCCTAGTATATTGGCACGGCCTGCTCCTGACACTTTTCGTTCTGCGGAAGCCGTCCACAATTCGTAGAAACCGTAGCCATCCAATGACAATAAATTGTGATCCGTTCAAATCGACCTGCACCTTTCAGGTCATCATTTCCAATTACAAGTAGTCTAGGTGTTTGGCTTGTCAGTATCACTATATCGCAGGAAGAGCTTGTTCGGCCGCCATTATTTACAGTGCTAATAGGCATGGAAGCCAAGAATTTGGCGGACCGTTCTTCACGGCAAATCGATAGTGGACGGAATAATCAAATGTCACTTGCATTTCGTATGTGATCCTCTTAAATTCCTCATGTTGCTTCTCGCGCGCCATTGGCGATTTAAATCGTGATATCGGATTGAATTTTATGTCTTGATAATACCATGCGAAAGGAAACAGTGTACCTTAACAAAACCGTAGCCAAACTGAGAATCCCATACCCTGCACTGTTCATCCCAAAAATCCTTGGCGTGGTGGTGCCATCTAGTTTTCACGGACTTCATGTGGCACGTGTAACAGACGCCGAATAGAACTAACAGAGGTGAGGTTGAATGGTATTACATAACAGCATTTTTGCTTCCCAAAAGGTCTGGAGACCAGCTGATGCAGATGTAGTGAGACTAGATTGAAACTGTCACGGATTTTCCTCACATGCCGCTTGTGCGCTGATGGCAGACAGACAAAACCCAGAGCTTTTGACATCAGCGTCAGTCTTTACATAAATCTTCATCTACCCGCGTGGCTCTTCTGTGGGCCATCATTTTTTCCAGTTTTTTTAGTACTGCGTCCGGATCGGCTGTTACACGCCATCATATTTATTCGAAATAATAGTGGCGGCAAATTTAACCCTAAATTCCATGTACTCCTACCGAGACGTTTCAGACGTACGGGAAAGCAAGAGTCCAGCTGCTGGTTCAGACGGCGTGGCCTGGAGTCAACCCCCCCCCCCCTCCCCCCCCCCCCCCCAGCTTGCAACCCATTTAGTCTGGAAAGAGCTTTGAGTGGCGTTATAGATTGTTTTGTGCGTGCTTGTTTTGAGTGATTTCCGCTGGAAATGAATGGCAAAGAGCAAAATAAGTGAAAGTCTAGTTCCGCCAACCTCAAAAAGTAGGGCCTGGCTGTACTTCACAACGACCTGCGTATGGATATATATGTATCGTCCAACCCGTATAAGCTGAAAATGTCATCCAAAAGTGGTAATATTCCGTAACTAATATCGCATAAAATGATCGTTGTACATTTTTGAGAACCCTGAAGTGAACTGTGCCTACGGAAAGTTTTGTTTTAGATAATCACGTGAAGTGTGCAGCAGATTCACCTGACTCACGTGAAACCTTTCTTTTGCCAGGAATTCCCCTTCACATTGTAATACTACTGCGAACGACTCACAATGCGTTTTGCTATGCCCATCTGTAGCACACCCGCCAGCACACTTGCGCAGCGTTTACGAAGCACACAACCTTGCCACGTCCTGTGCACGGTCACACTGCGTGCACTGCACTTTGTCTTTCTGGGCTTTGTGGCCGTTCAGTGGCAGGACATTCACCTAATATAAGCGACGATAACGCCGTCACCTTGTGGCAAAAAGGCTGCCATTGGTATGTGCCAACGCCACCTTCCCCCCCCCCCCCTCTCTGCTCCCACGGTACCATCATCATTTCATGCATAGCCATTGTCGAGAAGCCGGAGAAGCCCCCGAGCCTTGACCTGACGCGTCATCAACTGCCACACCAGCCCCCACCCGGAACCAGGAGAATGAAACGTGCGCGGGCTCGCGCCACCACTCTTTAGGAGCAAGGCGTCAGTGTTCGCTCTGCGGGTTTTGAACATTTGGGCACGCACTGGCCACTTATTTATCTAGCTCGTTTGTGCTGAAGCTTCCCATGCTTTGATCCATTATGATCGTGCCTCCTTTGATGCGATAATGGAGCTTGTATACCAGTGGCTTCACCTTGATGTTCTTTATTACGACGATGAATGGTCTCAACTGTAAGCATCAGCAGGCATTTTCTCACCGGGTTGATTTCCGCCTTTTACGAGCTTCCTCGACTCCCCATGCGTACCTGCATCAGAGGTCTTCAAATTCTCAGGTCAGGTGATTTACCGCGCTTTCATCTCTGGCACGGCCTTTCTGGTCACAGTCGCGGTGTCGGCGACAATGGCCTGCTATATCAGCAGTCACTCTGCCAGAGCAGTTACTGGCTATGCATGCCGTCCATTGCAATGTTCCTGGCTTTTCCTCCACTATTCTCCACCGGCTGCCACCAGGTGCCGTGCGATATCAGTCATGCCCGGCTTGCAGCGCCAGCCGGATTTGCCAGCTGGCCTCACACACTGCATACGCATCGCATGCGCAGGCTTACTCGACCGCGCTCCTGCCGGGAGCTTCCGGCCGATCACCGTACTGCGATCCTGTGTCAAGATCACGTCGGGCACAGAGTCTCATCAATGGCGAGTAGCTCTCTGGCGATCAGGGCATGCAGGCGTTTCATGCAGGCGGCAGGCGGTTCAGGCAGGCGGAGCGCTCGATGAGACCACGGCTGGCGGCGAAGCGGTCCGCTTTCAGCCTTCACCGCCCCCGGCGGCTCTCAACGTCAGCAAGGCAGGCGTGAGTGGGTCAGCTAAAAACGCTCTCGACCCATCGTCCGTTGTGTCTGGTTTTTTGCATGCACGGCGTGTTGTGCGCTGCAGAGGTTTTGCTCCGGCTGACCTCTGGCGTACATCAGACCGACGAACGGCATCATTTCCACGGCGTCCGCGTCCTTGGCCTCTTCGCCGCGCTCAGCTGCGCCTCTCTCGGGCCAGCCTCTTGTTTCCTGTATTTTTGCGTTGGTGCTGGCGACAAGGAGAGCAATCGTATCTTCCGAGAACCGCTGTCAAGCCTTCTCGAGGCTGCCGCGGGCTCGCGCTGTTCTCCCCACACACTAGCGGACTCGCTCCGATGATACTGTCCGCCGCGGCGGCCTGCGCTGGCTGATTGAGCTGGTACTTACGCCAAATTACAACAGCGATGGACTGCGTCTGGGACTGTTACTGCACTGAAGCTCACTGCTGGCTGCGGCCTAACTGGACGGTGGTTGGGCGATCTCCGGACTGTCCCGATGTCGTGGACGAGCTGGGAGTTTGTTTGCCGCTGACCAGAGGTGGTTACCGTACCAGCTGGTGAGAGAGTTACAGCACCAGCTGGTGAGAGGGTTACAGCACCAGCTGGTGAGAGGGTTACAGCACCAGCTGGTGAGAGAGTTACCGCACCAGCTGGTGAGAGGGTTACAGCACCAGCTGGTGAGAGAGTTACAGCACCAGCTGGTGAGAGGGTTACAGCACCAGCTGGTGAGAGGGTTACAGCACCAGCTGGTGAGAGAGTTACCGCACCAGCTGGTGAGAGGGTTACAGCACCAGCTGGTGAGAGGGTTACAGCACCAGCTGGTGAGAGGGTTACCGTACCAGCTGGTGAGAGGGTTACAGCACCGGCTGGTGAGAGGGTTACAGCACCGGCTGGTGAGGGGGTTACCGCACCATCTTGTGAGAGGGTGATCGCACCCGCACCAACTGGTGAGGCGTGACGGCGTGACGACGTGGTGGCGTGATGGCGTGACTCCTGTGGCGGGAGAAGCGGCAGCGGCCGACTGTCTGTGTACGGCCTGCGGTGGCAGCAGTGGGATGGCCGCGGGAAGGTGGAGCAAACAGTTATTATCATGTGGAGCGAGACAAAGATATAGGGAAATATGGCCACGACGGAGGCAACGGTAGCTGGCATCCCTTGATCTGCATGGCGTCGCGTTTTAGCTCTGCATCAGGTTTGCTGCCGTGTTCATCCAGGTCACCGCGGTCGTCGTTGTCGCTGATCTGATTCCAAAGATAATGGACTTCACTCTGGATATGTCTTCTCCTGTTGGCAACTTTCGCACAGCCGGACAGGTGAGAAAGAGAGAGAGAGAGAGAGAGAGAGAGAGAGAGAGAGAGAGGAAGAAAGAGATGGAGAGGGAGAGGGAGAGGGAGAGGGGGAGGAGGAGGAGGAGGAGGAAGAGGAAGAAGAGGAAGAGGAAGAAGAAGAGGAAGGGGAAAAGAGAGAGGGGGAGGGAGAGGGAGAGTGAGAGAGAAAGGGAACAAACCGCGGAAGACTGCTGGGCGCATGACTCTTACCGGTCTTGCCGTAGGCTATTTCACCTCTACGTTTGCATGGAAATCAAGACATCGCCAGCCAAAAATTTTCAGTTCCATAAGACGCGTAAGGTGTCCGCAGGCCTGCCCTGCTCTCCGCCTCCAATGCAAAACTGTTTGTATTTAGTGAATGTACTAACAATCCATACACATGGGTTGCGAGGCACGTGTGCCTCTTAGATGCTAATGCGTTAAGAGATCAAGTATGGTCTCGACCTCATTGCGAAAGTGACACATTTTTGTAAACCAGACCTTAAACGTGATAGAGAGCTGTTGTTTGATACCTACAGTGGATTTTTATCACACTTTGACTAACTTTGCGTGATCTACGATGACCCTGAACTTTAATTGATCTGGATGGGTCTACAACATGAGTGCGGCGCATCAGCAAGTTGTAACTACCAACTGCATGTAAAAGAAGCATATTCGTTATATTGCTGACGTCGACTAGAAAGACCTGCTTGAGCAGGCCTACCACGAGCTTTTGATGCGACTAGAGATGAACAGGCAGACACAGACACAGGACACACAGGCATTAACACAGGCAAGACACAGGCATTGCAGCGTACGGAAGCATGGAAAGGGCTCGGGAGCAACCTGTTCTACGAGAGGTCAACTTGTGACGTCATTGAAACTCGACTTAGCACGACACAACTTGATATTGGATCCTCGTAACGTCACTCAACATACTGGTGCAGGCCAACCAGCTGCAGCTCTAAAGAAGGCTGCATGGATATGAAGCAATCCCGGAAGCAAAGCCCGTCGCTGTCGACACCAACGATGAACTTTATGACGGCCTTTCGATCTGACCTGAGATGACACCTGCTCCTGGGTCTGTTGACAAGTGCCGTTTATATTTATGGAAAAGAGCCTCAAGCTTCAGGTCGCTGGCACGATTTATTCGAGAGCTAAAACGACAAAATCAAATGAATGCGGTGTGCTATACGCCGCCCAGTAGCCGACAGATTAAGCAACACACATAACATTAGCATTCCTCGAGGATATTCGGAATTCTGGCAAATTGGCCTCATAATAGGAAATGCGTGCCATTTGCAAAAGCGAGCTCTGGGAATGACGGGGTCACGTTGGCGTGACGAAAGGCCGGTGGTTAATTACGTGTGCATCGTACCACACGGAGCAGCCTTTTTGAGGCACTGCCGTCAGACGGGAGCTCGTCAGCTGGCCCTCGTCTCGCTCAGACGAGACGAGAGCCGGCCAGAGGAGTGCCGCGTGGCAGCGCTGCAGGAGTGCCGAGTGGTGGCTCTCGGGAGGAGCGAGAGGCGGCTCTGGAGGAGTGCCGAGTGGCGGCTCTGGGGGGGGGAGCGAGTGGCGGCCCTGGAGGAGTGCCGAGTGGGTGAGTGGGGGATTCGGAGTGGCGGCTCTGGGGGGGGGGGGAGCGAGTGGGCCGGGGCGTCTGGAGGAGTGACGAGTGGCCGGCCTCTGGGGGGGGGGGGGCGAGTGGGCGTCCCTGGAGGAGTGCCGAGTGGCGGGCTCTGGGGGGGGGGGGGGAAGCGAGTGGCGGCCTTGGAGGAGTGCCGCGTGCCGGCCCTGGGGCAAGTGCCCGAACTAAGCGCTTGAGCTAAACATAACACGAGATGTGGGCGTAGTTCTACAATTAAAAAATTCCGCACCTACCGGTCGGATCAACTTTTCGCTGCTTGAGACTTCGGCCTTCGGCAAATTTCGCCTGCCGAAGGGAACGGGAGGACCTCTTCGGGGTTCAGTCCATGCGATGGGACCGGTCCCAAGTGGTCCGTCGGTAGGGCGGACTGTTGACCGGTCTAGGCGCCTGCACACCTGCACCACCCCGAAACAGACATGGTCGTGGCTCGTTTCCCGGCGCGGAGAGTCCGGACCGGAGTGCCTGGGTCCTCTCCCCGCACCACAGCCAACTGCCGCAGCCGCGCCCTCCCTCGGGACTGAGCGGGGCTGGGGCAGCGCGGGTCGGAGCGGCAGCCGCTGGGGTGGTTCCAGACCAGCAAACAGCGGATAGTTGGCAGCTGTCTGTAACGTTACACTTCCCGGGCACGGTGGGCAGCGAAAATAGTCGCTGACTTGGGACCACCTCTCGATTGTACAAAATAGCGCGCCGAATAGCTAAGCAGCTGTGGCACCCTAGAGCCCAAATAAAAAAACAACAGGCTACATCCAAACAAAAACCAGTATTGTGCCAACTGCCCACAAAATGAAGAACTAGCCTCTCCCTTAATTTTCGCTCAGGCAGTGAGATGTTCACGACAGCAGGTTGTTTGCTTTGTGCTCCATTAGCATCGGTATATTGAACTGAATGGTCGGGTGTGCAATACACTGATTCAGCCATTGTTTGACAGAAGTTCTCTACGAGGATTATGGTTTTATATTTTTGATTAACAAGTTGGTAGGGCTTGATGTATCTCGAATGACCGTGCCAAGTGCAACGGAAACATTGGCTGTGCGATTCTTCTGTCCTACTATAGGTTTGTTTTAGGTTTGGGTAAAACAAACTCCTCAACGTCATTAGATAAAATGAACGCAAGCTAGACACGGCTTGTCATCAGTTCCGATGTTTTTCCATCGTTCTTTTTGCCCTTGAGCAGCAAAGATGCCGCATCATGAGCTTGGCTGCACGCATAAGTCCTATGGCTTACGTCACGGCTCTTCTAGATACGGCCGACCTATTGGGTCAACAGTTGAGAGTGTTTCTACGCATATCGATGAATGATTTGCGGGTGACAGCAAAAGGGTGCCTGGGGAGGGGGAACGGGAGCGGGGGTTTTCCCGCAGTCAGAGTAAATGCCATGGTCGGCAGGAGCCTTTTGAACTAGTTTTGAGGGTGTGTGGGAGAGGGGCATTTCAAAGGCATAAGTAATTCGGAATTTGAATTAATCTGACATGCCCATGAATTCAGATTTCCCATTAGAATCAGTCTGCTTCACCTCTGTGCCCTAATGAAAAGCGACCAAAATTGTGTGGCGAATTGACTGCGATGTGTGATTGGACCGCACCAATAACGGGATTAGAGCGAGACCGTAGCAGCGAGTGGTGTGGACCAAATATCTGGTCAGTGGGAGGAGGATTTGACCGCGTGCGATGACATTCTCCTCACACCTCATATATTACAAAGGGCCCTTATGGGCGACATAAAAAACTTACAAAAGTTAAATTTTGAAAGATCTCATTAAAGCGAAGATCGGATCTGGAACAGTGACCAGCATCTTTTCTTTTCATTTCCGCCATCAAGATGGCTAAACGGCACGGTGCACCGTCCAGTTTTTGAATCGATATGTTGTTCAAATTAAGGGTATCCGGACATGACCGAGTTGAGAGATTGCTGATTTGGCTTATTTACAAGTATTACCACCAACTTTCTCCCATCTCATTACCCTGGGACTAGATGGGAGCGTTGGATCTTGCGTTGGATCATAGCACAAAGTCTTTGTCATTGTGCGGAGGTGCGGTACACAAATTGCGTTAGTCATGGAGGAGAAGGGTTTTCGGTGGGGCGTAACGAAGCGTAACAAGGGAGGGAGGGGAGCTTTTTGAAAGCGTAACATTACGCTCAGGTACGGCTGCAAATTATGCTAAAATCTGTAACGTTAAATCAAATCTTAAAGCCAGATGTCGCTGATTTCCTGTCGTGACACACCGGCAATATATTTTGGACATCCACAGTTCAGTTAAGACCGAACACACGCTACTGTTAGGGACGTCACGCTTAGCACAGAATAACCAGGAGGGGGTTTCGCACAGCGTAACCAATGCGTAAGTAGGGAAGGTGAGCGTAGCACTGCCAAAAATACGTGCGCAATTCATGGACGGCTCAGACATGCATTGTGTCTCACAAACAAAGCTTGGGCCTTTGTCTGAAGTGCGCGCCAATGTTCCTCGCCAGCGCCAAACACCCGCGCTCTGATACAGCGTGATGTTGACTGTTCCGTCGCCCTGTTCAGCTCTGCGGGGCAGTGTAGCGTCAGCAGTTCCGGCGCCCTGTTCAGCTATGCAGGGCAGTGCAACGTCAGCAGTTCCGGCGCCATGTTCGGCTCTGCAGGGCAGTGTAACGTCAGCAGTTCCGGCGCCATGTTCGGCTCTGCGAGACAGTGTAGCGTTAGCAGTTCCGGCGCCCTGTTCAGCTCTGCAGGGCAGTGTAGGGTCAGCAGCTTCGGCGCCCTGTTCAGCTCTGCAGGGCAGTGTAGGGTCAGCAGTTCTGGCGCTTTGTTCAGCTCTGCGGGGCAGTGTAGCGTCAGCAGTTCCGGCGCCCTGTTCAGCACTGCAGGGCAGTGTAGCGTCAGCAGTTCCGGCGCCCCGTTCAGCTCTGCGGGCAGTGTAGCGTCAGCAGTTCCGGCGCTCTGTTCAGCTCTGCGGGGCAGTGTAGCGTCAGCAGCTCCGGCGCCCTGTTCAGCTCTGCGGGGCAGTGTAAGGTCAGCAGTTCCGGCGCCCTGTTCAGCTCTGCAGGGCAGTGTAGGGCCAGCAGTTCCGTCGCCTTGCTCAGCTCTGCAGGGCAGTGTAGCGTCAGCAGTTCCGGCGCCCTGTTCAGCTCTGCAGGGCAGTGCAGTGCAGCAGTTCCGGCACCCTGTTCGGCTCTGCAGGGCAGTGTAACGTCAGCAGTTCCGGCGCCCTGTTCAGCTGTGCAGGGCAGTGTAACGTCGGCAGTTCCGGCGCCCTGTTCGGCTCCGCAGGGCAGTGTGGCGTTAGTAGTTCCGGCGCCCTGTTCGGCTCTGCAGGGCAGTGCAGGGTCAGCAGTTCCGGCGCTCTGTTCAGCTCTGCAGGGCAGTGTAACGTCAGCAGTTCCGGCGCCCTGTTCAGCTATGCAGGGTAGTGTAACGTCAGCAGTTCCGGCGCCATGTTCGGCTCTGCAGGGCAGTGTAACGTCAGCAGTTCCGGCGCCATGTTCGGCTCTGCGAGACAGTGTAGCGTTAGCAGTTCCGGCGCCCTGTTCAGCTCTGCAGGGCGGTGTAGGTCAGCAGCTCCGGCGCCCTGTTTAGCTCTGCAGGGCAGTGTAGGGTCAGCAGTTCCGACGCTTTGTTCAGCTCTGCAGGGCAGTGCAGCGTCAGCAGTTCCGGCGCTTTGTTCAGCTCTGCAGTGCAGTGCAGGGTCAGCAGTTCCGGCGCCCTGTTCAGCTCTGCAGGGCAGTGTAGGGTCAGCAGTTCCGACGCTTTGTTCAGCTCTACGGGGCAGTGTAGCGTCAGCAGTTCCGGCGCCCTGTTCAGCTCTGCAGGGCAGTGTAGGGTCAGCAGTTCTGGCGCTTTGTTCAGCTCTGCGGGGCAGTGTAGCGTCAGCAGTTCCGGCGTCCTGTTCAGCTCTGCAGGGCAGTGTAGCGTCAGCAGTTCCGGCGCCCTGTTCAGCTCTGCGGGGCAGTGTAAGGTCAGCAGTTCCGGCGCTTTGTTCAGCTCTGCGAGGCAGTGTAGCGTCAGCGGTACAGTCGCCATGTTCAGCTCTGCAGTGCAGTGTAGCGTCAGCAGTTGTGTCGCCATGCTCAGCTCTGCACCGCAGTGTAGGGTCAGCAGTACAGTCGCCATGTTCAGCTCTGCCGGGCAGTGTAGCGTCAGCAGTACAGTCGCCATGTTCAGCTCTGCAGGGCGGTGTAGCGTCAGCAGTTCCGGCGCCCTGTTCAGCTCTGCAGGGCAGCGTAGCGTCAGCAGTTCCGGCGCCCTGTTCAGCTCTGCAGGGCAGTGTAGCGTCAGCAGTTCCGGCGCCCTGTTCAGCTCTGCAGGGCAGTGTAGTGTCAGCAGTTCCGGCGCCCTGTTCAGCTCTGCGGGGCGCCGCACCGTCAGCGGCTGAGGCCTGCGTCAGAACCGGCCGGCTGCGCTGAGCGATGCCTCGAACCTTCTTGAGTGTGGTGTTACTCATCTACACGAAAGCCAATGCGTACGAGTCATGGCTTAGGGGCAAAATCGGAACCCATGATCTTACGTTCATACAAGTGCATGCTCGGATAGCAAATGTAGACTTCGAGCAGTGTACCAGATTTAGCCGGTTCAGCGTATTCCGCCACCGGCACGGGCCCCAACGGTCGTCTGAACGGGCAAGACTGCGTAGACTTTTTCGAGGATGACAGCACAACGCAAAAATGCTCACGTAAATGACATTAAAATCCCTCAGTACCGAGTAAACACCAATGAAGATCCAAATTTCCGTTCGAATGCCGGGCATGGCTTTAAAAAAGTGTGTTACCAAAGGTGAGCATATCCACCGCGACACTCCCGGGGCACCCATGTGGCGGGAAGGTGTGTAGAAAGCTCAGCTCACGGTAGCTGTAGAAGGCTGAAGCTTGACGGCTCAAGCTCATTGCGTCTTCAGCTCAGCCCACTCAATGCGTGAGGGGTGTGCACTTTTAGGTGACTGCCTTGTTGCTGACCGCATGCAAATCAGGCAGGCCCATCAACGAAGTTCAAATTCTGCAAGGACCTCCTGACTCGAATTTCCTGCCTCTGACCCCGCCGGATCAACGGTAATTGCATGGGAGCACAAGTCAACCGTACACTCACCTCACATCACTCAGTAAAGCTGTGTCATAAAATGACGACTGATTGTTGTAGCACGTTTGGCAGCTCTTGCTCCACCCATTGTCGACATAGCCTGCCAAACATATGACCCGGCGAGTCTGCGCGAGCAGTGCCCGACATGAGCCTGACCTGACCTGACCTGAGCTTCGACGCAACACGCGTGTCGATGACATTTGCATCTTCCACGGACCCACGCGCTCATGAGTTCCATGCGGACTGTCCGTTCACGGTGGTGGCACACGGGTAAAGGAATGCTTCCTTTGGATATCACTTACGAGTAAGCTGCAGTAAATCGCAGGATAAGAAGTATCTAGCAGCGTTGGCATCCCGTATCTGTGAATCCCGCTTGAATGGGGCATGTTGGCACTCTGCTATCCTGTGACAACAGGAACCCGAGCAGACCACAGCTCAGTCGTGGGGACCACTTTAAAATAATTGGGATTCAAAACATGCACGAGCACGTGACGCGCACACCGAGCCTCCGACCTCTGTGCTTTGGGCGGCAGCGGACGTCCCAGTGGCATCTCACCTACCTGCCAAGTTTGACGACCGCAGCTTGACGCGGCGGTGACCCGGAGCTGCCCCAGTTCAAACGATGCACACAGCCGACGGGGGCACTCCTCGCCGCTAGCGAACGACACACCAGAGGGGTGGCGGGCCCCGCCGTTGGCCACGCCCCCTGGTGGGCGTACCATGTGGCTGGCCACTTGGCCTGTGTCCGTGACGGGTCAGTTTTGCAGAGCTCATGGGAGCGTCGCGTGACGTGTGCCACACGTCACTGACGCGTGCCACCCGTCGCTGACAGGTGCCACCCGTTACTGACGTGTACCACCCGTCACTAACGCGAGTCACTCATCGCTGACCCCCGTCACCCGTCAGTGGCGCGTGCCACCCGTCACTGACGCGTACTACCCGTCACTGGCCTGTGCCACCCGCCACTGACGCGTGCCAACCGTCAGTAACACGTGCCACCCATCACTGGCCCATGCCACCCGTCACCGGTCTGTGCCACCCGTCACTAGCCCGTGCCACCCGTCACTGGCCTGTGTCCCCCCTCACTGACGCGTGCCACGGCCATGAGGGTTCGGGATGATCGACCCTGATGAAAAGCTCAGCACGTCGGGACACCAGGACAGACATGCTCAGCATGTCGGAACTCCTGGGCAGACATGCTCAGCATGTCGGAACTCCTGAGCAGACATGCTCAGCATGTCAGAACTCCTGGACACACAGACCGTGAGACTCCCAAACATCGGATCAGCATTTGGCAGGGCGACCAACCTGTCTGAAATCGCCATACGCTTTAGCCGTTTCGATTTAGGATACACATGAATTTAGAGCATTCATTTATACCTTTTACAGTACATGTCCCATTGAGAGCATCGTGCTCAAATGTATGTCCAAAAGAAACACAATTCCATGCACGGTTGGAAAAGGTGGAGAGCAAGGCCGCCAGAATCGCGAGATGCGTGGGGCGGTTGGACTATCTCGGAGAGTGGTCAAGCATGGGCCGCAACCATTTTACTGGAGATACATGGAGCGATATTGAGAAGAAGTGTTTAACGAGGTTAGATATTTTAAACGATTGGGAAGTCCCAGTCATTTGCACCAGCGACATAAAACTGAGTAACCTTCAAAGGGCATCGGTGCTATCTTATGTTGAAATTATGGATCAAGTGATGCTAGTTCACACGCACATGACGTCATTAGGGCCACCACACATGTGATTCATCATTTCGAAAGCAATGGTAATGTGAAATGACCTAATAATCTTATACCACCATATAATTATATGAAACTGTTTAAACTATCTACAACATCCGTTTTGGACGTCCTTAGATGATTTGTTCCAGTGGTATTTATTTGCATAGTCTAGCCAGTCATCCGAAAAGAACGTACGTAAGTCCGGTACAAAAAGTGATCAGCCTTCACGTTAGGAAATTGTTTTGCTCTTTCAGTTATGTTCTGTTACGTCTCAATTTCGGTGTAGCATGTCTTTTAATGTCAAACGCCAGAAGCATTGCTATAAATTTTGGAAGTGTCAGAAGAACATGCACACGATAACAAAGAAGATTCACGACAAACCTTTTCGCCGCGAATCTGCGTCTTGCAGATTGTCATGTCGGAACGTGTTACGTAGAACCACTAATCAATCACTTTCTTGTCACTCAAAAATTGATGGCAAATTTAGAGCATAAGAAGAGCATGAGCATAGAGCATAGAAGAGCAAATTTAGAGCATGCTTACCTCCAGAGCATGCAGGCCAATAAGAAACTCTTACGTTTTGTACCTCGTTGTTCGTGTCATCGGATGCTCGTAGGAGAATGCCTGGAGGTGTTTTGTGCGTGTCGTGTGGCTACGATGCACAACTACTTCAGTGTATCTACAAGGCGGGCTGCCTAAGATGCATTTGCTTCCTCAAAGCTTTGGCATTACAGGTCATATGATATGGTCTCTCTAATGACTTCCGCACATTACAAGTGCGTGTAATCGTCTGACGAATGTTGACACGCGCCCGGGTGGCCGGCTAGATACCCTCCTCTAGGGAGGGGCTCAATTTGACCCCCCTAAGATCTCGGAAATTAAGAAAGCTGGGGACACTTAATTTGCGGGGTGTGTCAACCTGTACGTGAACTCACTTAGGTCAAAGTTTGAGGCCACCAGGTCATGACCTGCGGGTCAAATAAGGTCAAACAAGGTCAAATTTCAGGTTGGTCTCCAAAGCGCCCCCAGAGCCTAGATAACTGTTTCAAAGCAAAAAGTACCATGCTCATTTAAGGTCAGTAACCTTGCTTGACCTTTTGAAGGTCATGGTAACCAAAATCATACAAGACTACCATGAGTTTTGCATTTGAATAAGAAACAAACATTACGCTTGGCAGTATGCCCTTTAAAAAATGTCGACCTGGGTCATCTTAGGTCAATGACCTATAAGAACCTCTGAGAAGTCTACTGAAGACTTATGATGCGGTTCCTGCTACCGATGAATTTAAAATGAGCACCGGAAAATACCCCATACAGCAAGCCTAAAGCAATAAAACAGGTTGGTTTTGACCTTGGTCTGACCTTCATACCTGACCTTAGGTCAACTTAGTTTGCTCATTCAATGCTTGTGTTGCCTAAAAAAGCATCTCAAAGAGGAATAGCTTCGCCAAACACTCCGTTGTTGCATCAGATTGAACGATTCCCTAGAAATTGACTTTGCTGAAACCATGGCCTGACGTTGACCTGCCAGTCAGTGTCAGCAGTACAAAGCCAGTAGGTCAGTGACTTTACAAATTACATCTAAATTTCTTGCATCAAGCGTTCTGCTATTCAATTTTGAACAGCTATGCAAAATTTGACGCGGCTACGCCGCGGCGTTCGGAAACCATTCTGGAAAAACCTTCGGGGGGTCAATTTGATCCCCCCACTCGAGCGCGTGTTAATAACGGTCACCTCCCGCGCGCCATGTGACTTGTTTACCGCCGTCGTCTGCTCAACCTGCCGCCGCCAAGACCAATAAAGCTTACCAACAACCAGATGGGCGCTGCAATTCAGCTGGAGCCGATCACAGCACTGTAAATGATGGTGGGCGTCCGTCCGACTCGCTGTTCAGCCCTGTCCAAAACAAGGGGTCATGCCCCGACGAGCTTGGCCGTGATCTACGCAGCCGTTCCATTTTGAGATGGGCTTGCGGCTGAAACAGTCGCCCTCGTCAGTGGCTAAGCGGCGCGGCGGACGTCGGTTCGGCCGAGCCATCGATTGGCGAGGCGGCAGCTGGGCTGCTCCGGCTGCTGCTCCGGCGGCAGCGCGGGGGGAGGTGGCCGGCCGCTGTCGCTGCTCCAGTGTCGCGCCGACCGATGACATTGCCGCGCGCCGGACGACAGCGCGCCGCCCGCGCGCGCGGCGCTGCAGAGCGCGGGCGCGGCGCCGTTTGAATTCCGCGAGATCGATCAAGTCGGGCACGGCGAGCCGAAACGGGTCCGGCCGACGCGGCGGCACGAGATGGTCCCGGCCGACGCGACGGCACGAGACGGACCCGGCCGACACGACGGCACGAGACGGATCTTGCCGACGCGGCGGCACGGGATGGTCCCGGCCGACACAGCGGCACGAGATCGTCCCGGCCGACACGACGGCACGAGACGGACCCGGCCGATGCAGCGGCACGAGATGGACCCGGCCGACGTGGTGACACGAGACGGACCCGGCCGATACGGCGGCACGAGACGGATCCTGCCGGCGCGGCGGCACGGGGCGGTCCCGGCCGACGCGGTGGCACGAGATGGTCCGGTCCGATACAACGGCACAGAACGAGCCCGACCGACGCTGTGGCACGAGACGGACCCGGCCTATGCAGCGGCGCAGAGCGGACCCTGCCGGCGCGGCGGCACTAGACGGACCCGTCCGACGCGGCGGCACAGAAAGGACCCGGCCGACGCGGCGGCACGAGGTGGATCCGGCCGATGCAGCGGCGCAGAACGGACCCGGCCGACGTGGCGGCACAAAACGGAGCAGGACGACGCGGCGGCACAGAACGGACCCGGGCGACGCGGCGGCACGGGCCGGGTCGGACCGTGGTCTGACTTAGATCACCATGGAATCACCCCATATCAGGACACCATCCACGGATCAGCTTGTGTCGTCTTGCAGGAATAAACATCGCAGGGAATTTCAAAAGCCCTCTGCCAGGACTGTTACAGAAAGCCTATAGTTCGGGGCTGTTTGACGGAGAGACGACCAAGGCGGGCACAATGGTCCAGTTGGTAAAATCTTAGATATAACCAGTGAGGAGTGGCTTCTTTACCTGGTGGAAGCCGCGTCTACTGAATGCTTAGATGATCGCGGAATAAGCAAGCGCAACATGACCGGGCTGCGCGAGTAAGAGGGCCGCGCATACGAAATTATCGGATGCTCTCTCAGAACTTTCGGAACAGAGACCTCAATGAGCGCTGAAATAGTGCACTCCCGCTCAGCAATATGTTCATCGTTGTATAAAACATATATTAGAATGCATATTGTCCGCATTCGAGGGTTACATTTGTGACGAATGAAATAACTTAGAAGAAAAGTTGTGTTATCAGATAACAGGTTATAGAATTAGACGAAGCAGTCGCGATCGAATTTTTCTTGGTAGATAGAGCTGAGGCATCCATACGGTAGCACACCCAGCCGCTCATGAAAAAAGTCACCGACAGTATTATATATCGATTTGTGGTGGCTACTCGTCTCAGGCATCCGCACATCCCACGGAGCCCTCCCCGGCCCCCGGCCCCAGCGTGGCTGTTACGCCTCCCCCCCCCCCCCCTGCCCCGAACGACGGCCCGCGCCCAGTCGCCGCGTCAGCAACGGTCGGCCACCTCCCCCCACCCCCCCCCCCCCTCTTCCCTCTGCCTCCCGACGCTGACCTGTGCTGCTCCCTCTGCCACAGCCGGGCGGAGGAGGGCGGCACGGGCTCCTCGTCACGACGCACGCGGCTCGAGCACGCCTCCTCCGGCGAGAACGACAGCCTGAGCGGCAGCGCCAAGTTCTCCACGCGCTACTCGCAGGTGAGAACGCGCTTCACTTCGACTTCAGGAAGTGTGTTAAGGTGAGCAACGCCCCATTTCCGCGCACGGCGTGCAGACGCGTTACTGCCAGCTGCTTAGCTGTTTTGTAGCAACGAGACAGCGTCAGATTGGCCACATTTTATGCGCAGTTAGGGCAGTACCAGCTGACTCCGTGAGCTAGGTGTTGGTGTCTGCGTGCGGTTCTTATGCGGCGAGGGTATGGCCGCGCTTCATCAGGACGAGGCGCCGGATTCGTCCCGCCTCACACAGCTCGGGTGGCGCCAACCCCGCGCCTGTTGAGTGGGTGGCTGGTACTGCAGCTGAAGTCTACTACTCTAAACACGCCTACCCCTATCACGGCTGGCAGTGGTCTGTGGCCAATCGGGATTTTCGACGCAACATAGCTGTACTGATAATGCGACACGCCAATGCCATTGCCGTTGTGGCACTAATGTGCATTGCCAATGCAAATATGACTTACAAGCCATCATCAGTTGCAAATCATTTGGCCTCTTTTTTCAATAACTGAATTGTAATTGTAATTGGCAAAGCCACCGTAGCTGGCAACGTTGCGAGGGAAGGGGACATGCCAGGATCGGGCCGCCACGCCGTGTGCCATTTGGCGCCGTCCCTGTACACGCGGCGCGCCTGTTAACGTCTGGAGCGCGTGAGCAGACCACTTGAGCCTTCTCTCGACGCCGGAGGCTCGGAGGCCTGAGGCGTGCGCGCTGGAGCCAGGCGAGGGATCCAGTCAGGAGCTCAGCACATGACACTGGCATCGTCATCACTAACGGAGCACGCAGCCTATGCACCTTCACTGATAAAGCTCGATGGGTTTGAGCCGTGCTGTCTCACTTGTTTCTTCTCCCGCAAACATGCCTCCTGTTTTATGACCAAACATCCCCGTGGTGCTCGGTTCACGCCACGATCCCGTACATCCCGGAAAACACGTCAGCCATTACCCGCACCACAGGCCCTCCAAGGGCAACCGTGGACCTCACATGCTTGCCAGAGGCCATCACGGCCGACCGCAAGCTGACAGGTTAGGGGCCGCCGCGGGAGGCGCGTCGCTTTTCGCCGCGGCGCGCCTCTTCCCACCGCCGGTCGATCCTCGTCCCTCTCCCTTCAGTTGTGCCGAGCGGTCGCGGCCGGACTTGGCGCTGTCGGTGGTCCGGAGAGAGCCTGGGAGCTGTCGGTGGTACGAAGAGAGCCTGGGAGCTGTCGGTAGTTCGGAGAGAGCCTGGGAGCTGTCGGTGGTACGAAGAGAGTCTAGGAGCTGTCGGTGGTCCTGAGAGAGTCCGGGAGCTGTCGGTGGTCCGGAGAGAGCCTGAGAGCTGTCGGGGTCCGGAGAGAGTCCGGGGGCTGTCGGTGGTACGGAGAGTCTAGGAGCTGTCGGTGGTCCTGAGATAGTCCGGGAACTGTCGGTGGTCCGGAGAGAGCCTGAGAGCTGTCGGGGGTCCGGAGGGAGTCCGGGGCTGTCGGTGGTACGGAGAGAGTCTAGGAGCTGTCGGTGGTCCTGAGAGAGTTCGGGAACTGTCGGTGGTCCGGAGAGAGCCTGAGAGCTGTCGGTGGTACGGAGAGAGTCTGGGAGATGTCGGTGGTATGGAGAGTCTGGGAGCTGTCAGTGCTCCGGAGAGAGCCTGAGAGCTGTCGGTGGTCCGGAGAGTCTGGGAGCTGTCAGTGCTCCGGAGAAAGTCCGGGCACTCTCGGTGATCCGGAGAGAGCTCGGCCGCTGTCGGTGGTCCGGCGAGAAAACCCGGGAGCTGTCAATGGTCCGAAGAGAGCCTGGGTGCTGTGTGTGGCCGGTAAAGAGTACGAACACAGTCGAACACTGTGTTGTTGGCTATAGGTGAGAGGAGGAGGTGTCACCATCAATGACAAGAGAATATAGAGAACGGGGGAGAGCAGTAGTCATGGCGGAAACCAGCTGGAGAGAAGAGAGAAGAGAGAGAGAGAGGAGAGGAGAGAGAGAGAGAGAGAAGAGAGAGAAGAGAGAGAGAGAGAGAAGAGAGAGAGAGAGAGAGAGAGAGGAGAGAGAGAGAGAGAGAGAGAGAGAGAGAGAGAGAGAGAGAGAGAGAGAGAGAGAGAGAGAGAGAGAGAGAGAGAGAGAGAGAGAGAGAGAGAGAGAGAGAGAGAGAGAGAGAGAGAGAAGAGAGAGAGAGAGAGAGGAGAGAGAGAGAGAGAGAGAGAGAGAGAGAGAGAGAGAGAGAGAGAGAGAGGATAGAGAGAGAGAGAGAGAGAGATAGAGAGAGAGAGAGAGAGAGAGAGAGAGAGAGAGAGAGAGAGAGAGAGAGAGATAGAGAGAGAGAGAGAGAGAGAGAGAGAGAGAGAGAGAGAGAGAGAGAGAGAGAGAGAGAGAGAGAGAGAGAGAGAGAGAGAGAGAGAAGAGAGAGAGAGAGAGAGAGAGAGAGAGAGAGAGAGATAGAGAGAGAGAGAGAGAGTGTGTGTGTACGAAAGTATTATGTTTTCCATCGCGCTGTTTTGGCCGCTATCAAGGACCTTTCGAATTCATTGCTGCTCAAAGCCATCGATGGACTCGATCTAAGCATATTTTCCATGTAAAATATGCCTTTCATGTCTGCACTAGTCTAAGTATTTTATTGTGCTGGCGTACTGGTCATGCAGCTGCTTCAATTTGCACAGCGCTGCCAGATCAGGGCAGCCATTTCCCGCCATCTGGTCACGATGCATTCGATGAATGTAGAATATTTCAAGGCCACATTTTCGCCGTCAAATCGGCTGCTTTTTGGCCCGATGAGGTCATGCATATGCGGCCTCACGTCCGCTGCTGCCAGACCGGAGCGGCGGCGCTCGGTCCGCCACAGAGCGGCTTTTCCGTTGCCATTCGCAGGGTGTGGCCAATTCTGACCCGCGGGCGCGATCTGGGGTTGCGCTGCGTGATTTTCGTCTTGGGAAGGCTGCGTGGCGCCAGCAGGAGCGAAGGTCTTCTGGGGGAACTCACCAACGGCTGGGAGTGTCGTTGCGTTGGTGCTCGTTTGTCTACAGCACTAGCAGCGAGCTGATGCTGGTGAGAGTGAGTGCCGCTGACGGGTAACAGTGGTGTAACGCTGGTGAGTGTGAGTGCCGCTGACGGTCAGCAATAGTTTGACGCTGGTGAGTGTCAGTGCCGCTGATGATCAGCAGTGGCGTGACGCTGATCAATGTGAATGCCGTTGACTGTCAGAAGTGGTCTGACGCTGGTGAGTGTGAGTGCCGCTGACAGTCAGCGGTGGTCTGACGCTGGTGAGTGTGAGTACCGCTGATGGTCAGCAGTGGTGTGACGCCGATCAGTGTGAATGCCGCTGACAGTCGGTACCTGTGTCGCCAGGTGGGCAGCGGCAGCTGGCGCCGGCTGAGCGCCTGGTGCGGCGGCGAGGTGGACCGGCCTCGACCTCACTCGGCTCTGGCTCTGCCGCTGGCACCAGCCGCGCACCAAGCCACAGCCAACGGGGGCCGGCACCTGCAGCTGCGCCAGACGCGCAGCGTCGCCTACAACACGCCCACCTACATGTGCACGTACGGCCGGCACACCATCCCCTCGCCGCTGCCGATCCTGAGCGGACTGCGCCGCCACGCCAGCGCCGGCACGCTGGGCGCCGGCTCGCGCAGCCTGTCGGCCGAGTCCGTTTACACGATCGTCATCAAGTTCCCGGAGACAGTGACGGCCAGCACCGACCCGAGCATCACGATGCTGGGCGACTCCGACGACGAGGAGGACGGCCACCAGCCGCACTGTCCTCTCAGCCGCAGCCCGGCGGCGGCGCGGCCGGCCGCCCGGCCGCCCGACGACGACGAGGACGACGACAGCTCGGACGCCGGCGTGCCGCGGCCGCCGCCGCCGCCCGCCTCGAGGCGACCCTCGCAGATGCCCGACCTGCGCATCCCGCTCAACGCGCGCGTCATCCCGCGGCAGCCGGCGCCGAAGAAGAAGAAGAAGCGCGAGGAGAAGAAGCAGGACCGCAAGGCGGCGAAGACGCTGTCGGCCATCCTGCTGGCGTTCATCATCACGTGGACGCCCTACAACGTGCTGGTGCTGATCCGCGTCATGCTGCAGTGCGGGGACTGCATTCCGAAGGAGCTCTGGAATTTCTCTTACTACCTGTGCTACATCAACTCCACCGTGAACCCCCTCTGCTATGCGCTCTGCAACGCTTCGTTCCGCCGCACGTACGTGAAAATACTGACGTGCACCTGGCAAAAGAACAAGCGTCACCCGGCCAGTAGAGTCTACTACAATTAATGCCCAGGCACAAGGGTCTTTTACTGCAGACGATGAAGCCCTGGTAGGAACTACGACGACTGATGTCCACTAGTGCGGTTGAATATACTCCCGCTTCTGGCAGGGCGTCAGTTGTTGTTGCTGTTGGCGGCCGTTGTTGCTGCAATGGGCGGAAGCTCCGTCGCTTCGTCATCATGGGCCAATCTTGTTCAGCAGGTTCTACTGCAGCTGGGTCGGGCTGCGCTGGATGTGCTGCAATTAACCCTGGCTGCTCACTAGCGTAGTCAAGTTATAATTGGTGCGAACTGTGCACTTGGTGTGGTCTTGTGCGTCCGCATCGGGTGCTCGCTGTGGCTGGGTGTGTGGTCGGGTGCCTGTTGGTCTTGGTGTGGTGGGGCGGGTGCCCGCTGTGGTCGGGTGTGTGGTCGGGTGCCTGTTGGTCTTGGTGTGGTGGGGCGGGTGCCCGCTGTGGCCGGGTGTGTGGTCGGGTGCCTGTTAGTCTTGGTGTGCCTGGGCGGGTGCCCGCTGTGGTCGGGTGTGTGGTTGGGTGCTCCTGTCTTGGTGTGGTCGGGTGCCCGCTGTGGTCGGGTGAGTGGTCGGGTACCTGTTAGTCTTGGTGTGCCTGGGCGGGTGCCCGCTGTGGTCGGGTGTGTGGTTGGGTGCCGCTGGTCATGGTGTGGTCGGGTGCCCGCTGGTTGAACAGCTCGTCGTCTGGCAGATGTCTTCGATACCTCGAACAGCATCTTCCATTGACGTTAACTCTGTGATTTCTGACGTCTGTATGTCTTTTTGTGTAGTGAGAAATGTGCAAGGAATTGCTACAAACAGGCATCTCTCTCAACACTGCATTTGCCATGCCGTTGCTTTTTTAGGCATGCTTTGAACTAAGCGTTACGCTCATTGCGTGTGAGTTGTACACGATAGGTGTTGGTGTTCTGCGAAGCGGCCGAGATCAGCAGAGGAAAGGCACGTGTCCGCTGTCCTTCCAGCCTTGCTATCAAAATTTTATGGTTAGATCTCCATCAGCTCAATCGGAAAGATGGATGACAACTCCGCTTATCAATGCCGCTGGCTTAGCGCCACATCTGGCAAGTATCTCATGATTCCTGAAACGCATAGCGTCTTTAATGACTGTCACGAAGTAAATAACAAAGCTATACGTTACCCGATGCCCTGTGATACACATGACTAACTTCTGGGCGTGACCTCACTTCCTCGTTACAAGCTTTTCTGTTCAACTTTACGCATGCAGCCTCAAACGTATTGGGAAACTGTTATGCCTATCATGTGGACAAAAATGAGCGTGCAACCGTATGAGAAGGAAAGAGAATGTATTTTTCTGTTACAAACAGAAGGAGCTTTGTTAGATCAATACTAAATGTTTTCTCTCAACGAAATCAGTTAACATTGTCAGATGTAACGTAATAGTGCAAGTCCTGGCTTGCATTTGTTATTACGTGAAGCCACAGCTCAAAGCAGACGAATCAAATGCAACAGCATCATTTCACCAGCAAGTGTTTGGGGTTTGAGCGGTAACAGCCGTGTTGTAAGTAATTTTAGACTTGTTTGTAAATTATGTCAGGGCTCAGACTTTTTGTGTTAATAAGAGAAAGCTACAAGGTCTTGGAGCTCAGAAAAGGAGCAAAAAGAGGGGCAAAGCATCTTGGTGAATGAGATTCATCGAATGAGACGGAGTGGTAGCCAGCCTCTTTTTTCATTGCTGCGCTTTTTGGTGTTGTTTATCCCTCCGCAAGTTGGGGCTTGGATCGCCCCCCCCCCCCCCGCACACGCACATACTGATATTAGCCCAACGGCATCAAGCCAGCATTACACCTCGCAACGTCGCCGACCAAACGCATGCAATTCTTCATCTAACGACGGTTATCATGACGTGTGTGTGTGTGTGTGTGTGTGTGCGATTGGTGTGTGTTCGTGTGCATGTGTGTGTATGCACATGTGAAGTAACAGCACAATACACACACGCACACACATACACATCAAAAGATGAAACGCCTAACCAAAGTGCGGTGATTTCACGACACTAACAGCTTTCGTACTGCAATACCGTCAGCGATATATTAGGAAAAATATCAGATGATTCAGGCTGCAGCGTGACACTTACGCCTAAAAGATTGCGAAACGGGGTCATGGTGCAAGAATAAACCTAAAACCTGTTCTTTTCTGTCACTGCCGCAAGCCAGTCTGGGATGTATGGTGCGATGAAGAGGCCTAAGTCGTCCAAAATGGTTTGGAAACACATTGTCATGAGCATAGGCAAATATTGCAACGTCGAATATTGACAATGCAACTAATGTTGGCCCGACAGCGTTATTAAAACAGCACATCCTGGTGTATTAAAGGCCGATGGTTATCAGCAGAAGGTTCTAAACTCCCCATAAAAGTTTTTCGGAGGCACTAAAATCTTTCTAAAACTCAGTCATGGTAACCAGCGGTTTGGAAACATGCCATTCCAAACGCTGCACGCGTTTGCTGTGTTTTGAAAACTGGGCGCATTCTCGAATAATGTACTGTAAAACATTAAAATAATATTTATATCATCGCGGTTTGCAATAAAGATGATTTGTGACGTTAAGATTATCAGCCGAAAACATCACGCCGAAGTTATTCTCACCGATTGCTTTCAACGCAATAGTTGTGCAGACATTTTGAATGTGTCGTGTCTTGTTGCAGGAACGACACTACGATTGGCTTGTAGGCATGTTGCTGTTTGTATTCGTAACATAACTAGACCAAGTGCATTCGCTGTTCACAGGCATTACAATTGTGTTGTAATCTTTCACCCATGCTTTCCGCCGTAACGCAGCAACTTAAAAACATATGTGCACGACCACTTTTGATCACTTCCAACAGTAGCTTGGGGCAGCGACTGCTCCACGGATAAGCCTGATGGATCATATCAAAGGATCGTTTTGAAAACGAAATATGCCAATCGAGAAAATACAGCTCGTGATTTTCGGCTGATTTTAAGAACTAAATTTGTCTTTATAAAGTCACCGTACTGGCGGCTTGCAGTTGCAAAATAAACCTTCAACGCAATGTACCTGGAACGAAAGCTAACCCGTAGCTAAAAGCTGCTAAGCTTTTAGAAGAAAGCTAGAAGCCGCCGTCAAGTGAAATTTTAGTAGGCATTGGCCATTGTCATGAAGGTTTCCTGTGTAAAATGTTGTACAGCGTACAATGGTTTGGAAGTCATTGTACGCTGGTTTCACGCATCCCGTTGGTTGGTTTTGTTACTTAAGTTCCTGTGGTCAGAAGCAATTGCTTGGACCTTAGTTCGATCAAGCATATTCTCATGACTTTCATCGAGGCGTTTGCTGTTGCTATTGCAGTAATGGGCGGTAATTGTCGGTCCGCTAGGCCCCTCCAAAGCCGAAATCTGGATGCAATCCAAAATCTTTTTAAAAACCAATTTTTGTAACTTGTGTTGACAAATTTGGTTTGTTTTGATGTCGCAATGCTTTTCTATGATAACGAACGTTTCCTTTCTATCTAGCCCAAGCCACGAGTAGTTGTCTGGCCTAGTAAATGGTCGTGAACGGAAAAATAGTCAATAATGATGCTTTTTGAAACCATATGAAACTGCACGTCATGCACCGACGAAGCATTTTAAGATTCTTACAATGTTTCATGTAGCAGTTATTCTCCGAAACGCTTGTTGGTCCAGGCACTTGCTGATGATTAAGGGATAGTTGAGTGAGTTTGTGTGCATTTCGATCACAATTAGCATTTTTGCAGCTGGAGATTAAGGAGTTGGTGACTACCCTTACCCTTCTTTGACGGGATGTGAGTCGCACTGGCTCAAGCGCTTCGACGCACCGCGGTGTTGCAATGTGCTGGCCATTTGTCATTAGTGCTAGGCATGAGTTTTCCGTGATACGATTTGAGCTGAGATGCCACAGCATAGACGGGGACCAGTGTTCACATCCCAGCGGCCAGGCTTTCTCTAGTCGATGCCGGGCACACCGGTGTGCTGGTAGATGTGTCCGGGTGAGGATGTTAGACCTTCATCATAACCATCGCCCTCTGCGCGCGTTTCAGTGCATTTGTCTCTTGATATCAGAGCGAGGAGTGCATATTTGAGGTGTGCTCCATGGACGCGCAAGACCTGTGGTGCTCCACTTAGTGTGGCGTTCGATGGAACTGTGCTTCACTAAGTGGGTTGTTAGGTGGGGTTGCACCTAGGGAAGTGTCGTAGCGCCTCGTCGGACTGCGCTTTGTTCCGTGCCGTTATGACGATGCTCTTGTAGCGCGGAAATGGAAACTGATTGTAGATAGCTGTAGAAAAGGAAAACATGAACGATAAAAATCGAGCTGAAAATACGAATTAACCTTTCTCTGGAAAAGCAACTTATCGTCGCTTCCATCCTAATGTGTACCCCGATGCTAATGATGCAGACGTTAGCAAATTAATGTTCTCGGTGTTACCCATCGTCTTTTGCAAAACAAAATTTTGATGAATGTGAGAACGAGTGGGTTGGTAAAGCACCCTTTTGTAATTTCGTATCCGATAGTATTTACACTGCCTCTATTTTGGTTCCATTAACAACGAATGACATTAGCACCGATCGAGAACAAACGGACTTGTTCTACGGGCATCGAACAATTTCACACGTGGCGATAGATTTGCGTACGGCAAATTTTAACCACTTGCGTGAAATTCTAGATAGGTCAGCCGACAATATTCTGTGACCATTCTTCATGTCATTGACTAATGCAGCGTGGTCCGTGTGAGCATGCTCTGTGATGCTGATGCATAGAGCGTGCATGTCATTGAACACATTCATCACACCGCCAGTTGATCGTTTACTCCCAACTCACCCAGTGCCTGTCGCCGTTTTGTGATTCTCTGACCCGCCACTGTGGGCCAGCTGGAGAGCTCATGTGGTGCTGAGCACTAGTCTATCTCTAATCCACCTGTCCACCTGCTCCGTAGGCGGATCAGGCTAACGCGTGAATGGTGTATGGGAAACTGTCACCTCCCTTACAGGTCCTAGAATACA